ATAGTCACGTTTATGATACATATGCTAATTTATCAAAATCAGCGTGGTGGTAGTTGATTAATTCCAATGTGAAATGTATCAGTGTTTCTCCTGGTTGTATTTTGCAGAGTGAATTTTTAGTTTTTACTTCATCTCACTGTTCCCTCTGCCAAAGGAGGCCATGTTTCCAGTCATGTTTGTTTGCTAGTTAGCAGGATATTTCTCAAAACCTTATGAACAGATTTCAATAAAACCTGACTTTAAGTCCATTGGCTGAGGAACAAGTGATTGGTTTTTGGTGTGGATCCAGGAATGTTTCAAAGGATTCATTTGTGAGAGACCTTTTTGAACATTTTCATGAAGTACTTGATTTAAAAATATCCCATTTATCCCATGATTCACGATGAGGAGCCTGATGCACATGCAGATTAAACATTGTGAAAGATTTCTGCATTGTGCAGCCGTGGTGGAGGAGTCATTTCTAGTTGTTTGTTTCAGTGGAACATATAAGACTTAGACAAACATTGTAAGGGTACACAAAGTCTCCAGCATGATGGCATCACAAGTTTGGAGTTTCAGTTCTCTGATGTTTAGAGTTGTTCACATTCACATGGAATGGCTGGACTCTTCCTACTGAATAATACATTGCCGGTTCTTTTAAAGGAATAGTTTGACATTTTGGGAAATACACTTTCTTTTCTACAGTTAGAAGACAGAATGGCCAAGAGACAATTAGCTTAACTTTGCCAGGGTCTAAAGCAATTCTGTTGAGTCTCATTCTCAGGTCTTCAAATACCGATGCTTTGGGTTGGTGCAACCAACTTTGTGCAGTTCTCTCTCTGATTGGATGCAGTGGGAACAGCATACCAGAAAATGTATTCTCTGTTTACTGCAGATAGGAGGTGGTAATAAAGATGTGCATTAGTGTCTCTGTGTTGGTCTGAGAGAGAAACAGTCACACAATGTTTTTAAGATAGTAAAATGCATTCTTAGTTATGTTTCTAAATTGTGGTTAAAAACTAAGATCTGAATCAAAGATAACTTTTTTACATGTTGACAGGGATTTAATGCCAGTGGTTGGAGTTTCACATTAAGTTTGTCTCAGAGCTTCAGTGCTGATGACCAAGACTTCACTTTTCTCCTGACTGAGCTCTGCCATCTGTTGCTTAATATCTAAAATACAGTAGAAAGGGCATCTGTTGGCGGTTTAAAGCTGTGTGGCATCAGCATAGCTATGGAAACTGATGCTGTGCCTCCTGATGACGTTTCCCAGTGGCAGCATATAAAGCTCAAAAAGGGTAGGACCTAAAATTGAACCCTGAGGAACACCACAATTCATTTTATAGCTTTTAGATGAACATTCATTAATTATTACAAAAAGTTCTCAGTCATTAAGATAAGATTTAAACCAACTAAAAATAAATAACGGAGAGGCCAACCACACTATGGAGTCTACTCAAAAGAATGGAGTGATCTACTGTATCAAAGGCTGCGGTTAAGTCAAGTAGTACTAATACTATACTTAATGTGGGGACACACATTACGACTGTTGAGAAACTAATGACTATGATTTGGGTGCAACGACTGTTCATACTGAGTCGTACAATAGAGACAATAGATATTACTTTGGACATTTTCACCTTTATTGGACGTATTTATTGGAGTATGACAATAAAGAGAAACACAGGCAATCTTTGGATAGAGGTAGGGGTGTAACATCCAATAAAGGGTCCCCAGCTGGAATCAAACTGGTGATGTTGCGGTTATGTAGCATGTGCTGCTACCATTCGACTTCCAAGACCGACTGATGACCCGAGGGAGACGTTAACAGTTTCACCTGAAGTTAGCTTGTGTTTACAAAGTTCGCTCACCTCCAGTTCCCACTGTAGGCCCTACAGTCATGAACCAAAGTATTGGACCTTATGATGGCGCTCAATGAAAGTTTTTATTTAATCCTGAGTAAAACATGAATGCCAAATTTCATGGCACACAGATTTAAAAAAAGAAGTATTAAAGCTGGGGTGAACAAACATAATGCAAAACCTTCTGCCTGTCTCTCTGCTGCTCCTATCACTCTCCTAAGCCCGTCATCAAAGCCACAAGTTGAACGGCAGCAGAAGGAGTTGATTGCCCTCGTTTAGGCTCGCGCTCCACGGGTGAGCCTCCCCATGACGCAACAGCGACTCATCATCTCACGCCTCCAATGCTCCGGGGCCCCCGGGGCAGAGTGCCCCAGGCTGCGGTGCCGTCTAACAGCAGGATGATCGACTGCCTCGGCAACACAAAGGCAACAAAAAGTGGAGACTTCTGCGGGAAGGAGGTGGCGTATTATTGGACTGTCACACCGACCTCTAATAGCATGCTCAGCGACAACCACACGACTAATACACCACACATGCATACACTGTCTTCCCTCAAAGGTTATTCCCCACTGTTTGTCATCATGCCTCTATGCTGCTCGTCAATGCGAGTGCCATGGCATTGACCATAATGAGGCGAAGCTCCGTGTCGAGCTGGAATTTGTTCACGCGTGTCTTATACGAAACACACTTGTAGACAAAGGGAGTATTGGAAATGTATCACAAATTGTAGGATTTTCTGCAGGATTTCGAACATTGAATCAGTGGTTTCAATTTCACTTTCTCCAGCACTGGCACAGCGTGCGGAGGTCTGGTTATGTGATATTAGACTTTATGATGTGCACACGTTCTGATTGCCTGAAAATTGAGCCAAGAGGAGGTGCTAGTCTAGTTTTCTCTCCAACCACTTGAATTATAGGAGTCTGAAAGTTTATTATGGAATTATTTTTTGCCAATAAACTGCCTCCAACAGTTTTAATTAGTGAGCTTTAGAGTAGAGGTGCTGATGGGGGTCTCTTAACACAGACAGGCTAGCTGTTTCCCATCTTGCTTCCAGTCTTTACACCAAGCTAAGCTAAGCTAAGCTAAGCTAACTGCTTCCCAGCTTAAGCTCCATGCTCAACAACAGCAGGAGAGTGGTGATGATATAACTCTTGACAAGAAACCTAATATGTGTTAATATTATTAAAATGTTAAATGCCTTTAAGGGTACAGTCAACCATAAATGATATTTTGGCAGAACTGGAAGGTGGAAAAGTGGACAGGTGGTTTGGGATTTTGTCCCTAAACCACACAGTTCCAATCCCAACAAAGGACTCGGGTCTTTGTTGCTTCTGTGTGAATGCTAGCTGTGCAGAGGGAAATGTCATAGTTCATACTCTTCTACCTGCAGTTCTGGGACTGGATGTATTTTCGTGCCGAGCTGCCGTCAGTAGATATGAAATAAAAGCCAGTTTGTGCGCACACACTTTTATCAAACCCTGGAGTTCACACATTGACTTGCCCCTGGGGTAGAGCCGGGCTGTTGGTCTGGCTGCCTGCCACTGTTGCCATGATCAACATCATCCCATTCCAGTTTACAGCACGGTTGTCATGGTAATGACCGTTTATTTGCAGGGGGCACTCTAGTCTCTGGCATTTCCGGGACACACACAGACAAGGTGAGAGAGAGAGGAGGGGAGTTGCCAGACAGACAATTTGCTCAAAGGGCAGGTAGATGAATCTGTCTCATATCATCTCCGGCTCAGCCCCTTGTACAGATCAGTAATAACCTAACAGGACCACAGATATCCATCATCTGGTGCTGTGGCTGCTTTACATCACCATCAAGGTATTTATTCATATCAATTAAACTTCAGTTATTCTTTATTATCAAACCGAACTGTGAAGTCGAGATAGAAAGATGGATATTCGACTTCCTCCCAACTCAAACGTGAAGAGATTTCTGTTCCAGGAAGAAACTAATCAGATATTCATCATGATAACTTTACTGTGAGGCTGATACATGTTGACTACTGTACTCCCAACCTTTTTCCTTCAGGGACCCTTTTCTATCATTAATAAACTGACTCAGTGACATATTTTATGGATATTTCATATTATATTCAAAACTGTCCAATGAACCCGAAGAGTGAACTCAGTAACTGCAGGAAGTTTGTGTAAAACCAGAGATTTGGGTGGATTCTGAGCGGATTATTTCCTGTTTAGGGAACTTTTTATTCAATTCTCTGTTTGTATTATGGATTATTTCAATCACACAAACTTAATAGGCTTCTTTTTTGACAAATTCAATTCCCTGATGATTAACTATTGTTGTATGAGACAATTGACTTCTTTTTTAAAAGTTTTCTTACACCCTTTAAAATAAAGAAAACCTTGCAACCCCCCTGTGAAGCTTTGATGACCCCTAGTGGGGGTCCCATCCCTCAGGTTGGGAACCACTGCTTTAAAGGTCCAGTGTGTAGAATTTAGTGGCATCTAGCCATGTAGTTGGAGATTGCAACTCCCTTGTTTCACTCTCCTCTTCCAAGCATAAAGGAGAAACTAAGGTGGCTGCTGAACAAAAGGTCCCATCTGGAGTCAGTGTTTGGTTTGTCCTTTCTGGGCTCCTGTAGAAACATGGCGACCGCTGTAGAAGAGGACCCACTCCCTCTGTAGATAAAAACTCATTCTAAGGTAACGAAAACACAACTATTCTCATATTCAGGTGATTAAACACTAATTAAAACATACCTATGATGCCCATAGAGTCTCTATATAATGTCACACTGGACCTTTAAACCTGAGTCCAGCTTTCATCAGGCTGCGGTTAGAGGTGAAGATGTTTTATTATTAAATTGCAGCACTGTCTTTTTTCCTCAGATAATGAACAGGTAGGCCTACTGTCGAGCTTCACTCTCAGATTCCATTTTAAAATGAACAGTATGCACTTCCAGGGAGATTTCTGCTCTGGCCCGGGGTGACACAAATGACAAAGCTATCCACAGGCACACATCCACCTGTCTGCTTGGAAGGCGCTTGCATGGTCTCCTTATAATAAACGCCCCCCCTCCTGTCCTCTCCTCTCTCTCCCTCTCTCTCCCTCTCTCTCCTCCTCCTCCCCTCCTCCTCCCAGCCAGCTCGCTCCTCTGTTTCCGTGTCAGGCAGGAGATGTGCTGCTCGGAGCCGCGCTGAGTGTCTGTCGCCTCATATTGAATTTCAGCGCGGCAGCAGTCGGGTTTCTCTCCGGGAGATCAGGTTTAAAGCGGTCCTCTCCTCCTCCTCCTCCTCCTCCTCCTCCTCTCCCTCCCTCGGAGCTCTCCTCCGGCCCGTCACTGCCCCTCTCCTTCCGTCCGCAGGTCCGCACTTTGAGTGGAAGTTTCCCCCGGCAGGCAGAGCTGCTCCGCCGGTCCGCGGTGCGCCCGGAGAGTCGGAGGCATGGAGCGCCGTTAGGAGCCGGTACACCGAGAACAGAGGAAGAGGACAGCGAGGGGAAGGGAATAAACCAGTCTGACTTAACAGGAACCAGGGACGACGTCCAAGGTAACCTCTTGTATATCCTGTACTAACACTGCACTTTATGAGACTTTTATGCCTGTTTCAACCCTCCAGGCTGGACTGCTGTTCTTCCTGGGCACTACTTTATAATAATGCATCTGTATGGAGGTTTAAGAAGCGCAGCAGCGGCTCTATCAATGGGTAAAAGCCACTTTTCTTTATAGATTAGCAGCTTTTTGGTTGCCAGGTGCTGAAAAATCTCTCTAATGTCATTAATGAAGTCATTAAGGACGGCTAATGGATCTCATTATAAGAAACCAGTGGGCCCCAGTTCCAGGAGGAAAATGAAATGTTTGGAGATAAAGTTGGATAAAGCTTTTCCACAGAGGAGACTCTGACTCCTCGCAGGTGTTAACATCATTAACTGCTGAGTGACTGTTGGTGTTCACACCTGTGGGTCTCCTGCTGTGACAGGTCAACATGTCCGCTGTGAAAAAGCTTTTCATTTTCATAAGAGAAGCTTGAAAGAGAATCTTTAATGTTCTTGAATGAACTGGTCTCCCTTTCAGTTCCCCTGTATTGTTGCTGGTTGATTAGAATATGTGTGTGTGGGGGGGGGATGGCAGAGAAAGTTTGGTTTCTAATACATTCTGCTGGTACAGTTGTCAGAAAAGTCATAGTCATTAACTAGTCACAGGTTTCTGTCTTTGTGATAAGCCGTCAGTTACAGTTCGTATGCAATCTGTAATTAAAAATCTTAATAACTCGTGTCTAAAGGGGGTTTTACAATATTCCTTCTGTCGCCAGTTGAAAACTGTTAATTAATTGTTAATAAATGAATTTTGGTTCCGAAGCTCTGCAGCAGAGCTAAAATAATTAATTGATTAGGGGACGAGGAGAAAATTAATCTGCAACAATACTGATTCTCAATTCCAAACATTTCCAAAATTTGCAGCCTCCTCCTTCCCAAATGTGAAAATTTGCTGATTAACTGAAAACATTTGGGTTTTGGACATTTGTTTGGACAGAGGGAGACTCAGGTGATCAGTATTTTCCAACATTTTCTTTCATTTTATAGATTTAACTTTCTTAAAATGATTGGCACATTAATGTATATTTAAATAATCTCTGCTTGCAGTCTTACTCTGTAGCACTTTTCCATCGAGATCGATCCATTGGAGTCATCTTCCTGATTAGATGAGCTGCTGATAAAGTGTCCTGCTGGAGGAGGATAAACACCAGCCAAATGGATTTTTCACAATCTGGCAACCCAAAAGGTGTTCTATTTAAAGGCTTATGACTGACCTATAAAGCACTGTCTGCTACCTTCAAAATGTCTCCTTTCTGGCGTATTCTCAATGACACAGACTCAAGAGCTCCAAACCTTGTACCTTTCTTTATTTAATATGATTTGTAAGGGAATGTGTGACACAGTCCACTGGGAAACTGAAATGACAGATTTTAGATAAATGCAATGCTTTTATCAAAGTCAGTAGTTACAACCTATAAATCTTAAAAAGGCTGCTCGTTTATGGGAAGTTATCCTGACATTTCTGATGACACAAAGAAACCCTGTGGACAGTTAGTTGTCTCATTTCCTCATCCATCATATCCAGCATCATGGCTGCTTCCTTCGGTATAAAGACCTGTGTTTGTGAATTTGGTAGAAGCTCTCTGAGGTAAACCTGCTAACGGACAAGTATTATTATATTAGAAAATAACTAGTTTGTGGTAGGGAGGTGCGCTACCAGTCGGTTACACGTTGCTAATCTCGCTAGTCGACACTAGAAATACTAGTTAATGAACAAATTATTATATTTTATTAACGTACAATGCTGTTTAATTGTGTCTTTACTCAACCAACGTCAATAGCCCGCGCCCCGCACTAATTACATTTTATCGTAAAGGCAGCGTATATCACGTTATCCCATAACGATCAATCAGCCCTGAGAGTAAGTGTCTTCATCTTCTTCACAATCCTTCACAGGAAGTTATTGTCCATATGTTGCTCATTTCAGTAGCATCCCAACACGTTTACTGACATTTAAATGCTGATAAAGTAACAAACTGCTCCCCATCAAACGTGTGTAACAGGATATAGCGAGGGAACTATGTGTGCGCGGTTTGTGTTTAGAGTCTTTAAATTGTGCTCAATTTTTGCTGTTTTCTGAGCGTTTAACTTCTAGACTAGTCCACCAGTCTAAATTGAAACTTTTGATTAACTGACGACAAAACGAGATGCCGAGGTCACAAAATATTTGTGTAAATAATCAAAAAACAGAGAGCTTGAGAGAGAATTCTGATGATACTGGCGTCTGTTACAAGCTTTTTATTCAAAAGACCCATTTGTACCATTGACGTCACCTATTGGTTAATGGACAGCTGTTTTTGAAGCCTTGAGTTTGGCATTATGGCCGTCACCATCTTCGTTTTTTTGAGCCAGAAGTGGTCATATTCCACGATAGCTTTTCTATTTTTTCTAGACCTGGAGGCTCTGTCCATTATTTATATACTGTCACTGTCTCATAGCTGTCTACAGTCTATGCCTCAGTTGTGGAGCAGTTTATCCTCCAGCAGAGTATAACGTTCCCACAAAGGTCAGCACTGTCAGGATGGTTATCTATTGGGAATTTGCATGTCAAAATGCACCAAAATCGATCTTGATGCAAACAATTTGCATGGATTTACTTCATCGACCGAATCCATTGGAATTAGGCTAAATAGGCTCACACACACAGGCTCCTGGATCTGCTTGCCCCATTATTTCATCAGTTTTTTTGCACCTCTCCCTCCCTTCTCTTGCTCACAGCATGCGAGGCCTCACCTTACGTCTCTGCACTCATTCATAAAAACCACTGTGTGACTGTTCCTGTCTTAAATTGTGTTCTTATTAACGTTCATTATGTTGGATCACAGCTTACGTCGTCCCAAAATAAGACTTACTGTACAGGTGTGTTTGTAAAATGACTCATCTGTTTTTCGAGTGTCTGTGTTGGGAACATTTCTTTAATTTCAGCCACAATTAGAGCTCAGCACCTGTTTCCACTGTAGGTCTCCACTTGTTGAGTCAGTTTGCTTTGTGTCAGACTGTAAACATCATTTGGTAGGTCACTGAAACACAGTGATATTTGGAGGTTTGGATTAGTCCCGTTATTACAGTGACACACCGAGACATGTTGTTTAACAAAGTAAATGAGATTGCTCTTTGGTTTCTGTCTGAGGGCTCTGTTTCATCAGGTTTGTGTTAGATTGTCTGGACCTTTCTAGTCTCATGATAAAAGGCAGTCGGAGATCTCCTGCCTACCGATTAGGGTTGGGGAGACTGGACGAGTATATTGGCTATTGGTGATTGAGTCCATCGCCGGTTGTTTGTTTTTGGGGCGATTTCTGGTCGTTTTATTTTGTCAATTTAATGGACTGAACGAGAGCTGCTCAGTGACAGACTGAAGAACGAGTGAGAGGAAAATAAGCTGTAGAGCCAGTGTATTTTCACATCTAACTGTAGTGAATTAAGGGTACATTTTTACTAGTTTGATGATTGGGAATACAGTTCCAACCAGGACTCTCTGGACCTCTGACTCCAGGAAAGATGGGGACACAGCAGGGACAGGCTGGGACAGGAGAGGCAGGTAGAGGAGTGAAGGATATCGGGGGCATCAGAGAGGCAGCGACAGCACGTAGAGCCAGAATATTTTCACCTGTAACTCTCTTTTGTTTCTGTCGAGTTTGAATGAAGTGTGTTTTAAGATCGCTTAACAAGGTCTTTGTTCAGTAAAAGAGTTGTTCCCAACCTTTTTCCTTAAATGGACCCTTTTCTATCATGTAATAAACCCACTAAACGTGACATATTTTTTGGGATATTTCATATTATATTCAAGGCTCTACAATGAATCTAAATAGTGAACAGTTTGTGTAGTGAATTCAATGAATTTTGAGCAGATTATTTCCTGTTTAGAGATTTTTTTTCTCTGTCTGTATTATGTGTTATTTTGTCATTTTTTTAACAATCATACAGACTTATTAGGCTTATTTTTTGACAAATCAGTGTTTTCTTGTTTTCTTGGCCATTGTTAGATTAGACAATTTCCTACAATCGCTGATTGTTGGACTAATGGTGGCTTGTTAGAAAATTTTACCATATCTACTACGTAGTACGAATCTTCTGGGGATTTCTAAATGCAAAGCAGTTAAACTAACAAACGTACGGCCCTTACTTCAAGGACACACAGTGAAACAAACTGGAGATAGAGTGAATCACTTTATAACAGGGAGAGAGCTTTATGAAACATTGAAAATGGATGGTACGGCAGTGTTTACAAGCACACAACTTCTTCATTTAACCACCATAAAGACTCTGGATTGGTTCTACAGTGCACAGTGGTTCTTTTCAACTTTTCCACCCAGTTTTAGCAACTAAAGCAGAGAGAAAGTCCTCCTTTATTTTCTTTATTTTTTTCTCTTTGGTTATTTGTAATGATGGGCTGCAGCTATTGATTATTTTCCTTAGCAATTAATCTAACTTTAGTTAATGACACTTTAATTGATCCATTAATCGTTTAGTCCAAAAAATGAAACAGTCTGAGGTGATGTCTTCAAATTGCTTATTTTCTCTAACAGCCCAAACCCCAAAGTACTCAATTATAATTAACCAGAAAAAACTGTAAATTCCCCCATTTCCGAGGCTGGAACCAGCTAATGTTTGGCATTAGAAAGGACTTAAAGATCCAGTGTGTAACAATAAAATATCCATTGGTATGTTTTCATTAGTGTATAATCAACTGAAAATAAGAATTGTGTTGTTTTTGTTGCCTGAGAATGAGCTGGTTTTATGTAACGGTGTTCGCCATGTTTCACAGCCCCAAAGTTTCCAACCGATTAATCGACTGATGATTTCAGAACTCCTGTCACTGGTCAGTTCAGCGTCTCTGAGATTGGAGCTCTTTTTGGAATTGGTTCTGGGAGAAAATCCACATCAATAAAGCTTCTTTTTTTTACTTTAAAGGAAATAGAAAGACAGAAAAGATTGCTGTTCCAAAGTGTTTCTT